ACAGTTGGGGTAGATGGAGGTTGCCCCGCAGTAGCAAGCTATGCCTAATAACCCCCAGCCGTTGTCCAATAAAGATCATCCGCCTGCCGATTTACTGTACAAGCCAGTGAAACAATATATTCATTGGTTCCTGCCAAGATAACAGTTTACCAACCCCTGCTGCCGGGTTGGCAGGTGCTGACCCCCAACACCAGGGTATATTTGATCCATTTAAGGAGGATACAGTTTTACTTCATGACCAGGATGTATCTGCTCAGCTTGTCCAATACCCATGCCCTCAGACCTGTCTGGCTTGGGTGACCCTGCCAGAAGCATAAGCTTCCGCCAGCATAGCTCCAAGGGTAGGGGGACGATACTAAGCAGATTTTAGGTTATAGCTAAACGAAGGTGGCTATTGATAAAGTCACTTCAAGAAGACCAATAACCAGCAAATCTAGACTGAAGGTAATCAGAGCATATGATCAGAGGAAACTATTATTTAAGTTACCACAACAAGACCTACAGCCTACATTTGTATTAAGGATATCATATTAAAGCTAAATCTCTTCAGTGCATTCTGTATCAAAAAAGTGTCTAATATATGCTTGTAGATATTTAAGGATTTTTTTTTTCAATAGAAATGTAGGTAGCAGTAGGCAAGTACAATGTGTAACTGTTATTTATTGCTTGTTGAGTAAAGTATATATATTGTATGCACATAAATTCTAAAATTTTGTGTCAAAGTGTCCCAAAGTTACCATGGAATTGTCCCCTGTGCATTTAAATAGGATGTCACAGTGTTACTGTCACAAAGTTACCAAAAAAGCAACGTCAGGACACTTTTTAAATTGCTATAATTAGTAAACGAAATAATTTTCAATTCATGTTTATGTTGTTCACATATATGCTTATGATTTGAATAATAAATTCTCTTATATTTTGTTTAAGTACTTTTTTGGTAACTTCGGGACATTTTACATGGTACAGTAGTTCATCGACAAGTCGCTGTAGCGGAACGAAGTACGCAAAATAAAATAAATTCATGCATATAATGTTAATAATTACTAATCCACTCAGTTATGTTGGTAATATATGTTAAAGAGCATAAACTAAACACTCTAAAAGTTGGCCTAATTTATTCATTTTTTTTTTTGGAAAAAATAATATTAATTGTATTTCTTATACAAAATTTAAGTGAGTAAAAAAAACTAGAAAACTAAGACCATTTCATGAAAGTTCAGAATTTCATCTTTAATTTAATACCAAATTTGGTAGGATATCACTATTTTAAAAATTTAGGTGCCATGTCCTGTTTTGCATGCACCCCATATAGCACACAAATTTTTTTCACAATAAAGTACTATTGGTGTACATAAACCTTAACCCAATATCAGGTTGGGAAGGTGATGTAAAGGCTCATAGAAAAAATTATTAGATTATCACTCTTTTTCTGTACCCGGGCCTGTAATAGTAAATATTGTATAAAAACTGGTTTAATTTTATAGCTTTTTAAAGAAAATGTATTTGAAGTCATCAATATTTCCTCGAATTTTTGACGTGGGCAGGAGTGATAATCTAATAAAGTGTTTGTCTTGAATCAAGGTTGATGCATGTATTAAGCTTACCAAACTACTGACACAGACCTGCCAACTCACCCGATCCTGTCGGGTGTCACCCGATATTTAAACAAATCTCCAGTTCTCTCAATCGAATGTAATTTTCACCCGATTTCACAGGCCACCCCACTTTCCCCAAAATACTCAGATTTATGCATAATTTGATTGATTTGATCGTTATTATTCAATGTATTTGCCGCCTGCTCGCTGATCTCTACTATAATAGCTGGATTGCTCACTGGTGGTTTTAGTGAGGCCAACAACGCCATGTTGGGGGGCCTAAATGACGTATCAGTTTAGACAATTTTCTTTTAGCATTTGTTTAAATTATTATAAAAAATAACGATTCTCAAAAACTTTTTAATAATAAATTTGAATTTAACGTAATGATTTTTTTTCAAATCATCTATCTACTTTATGGGACTTTTTATGCAGTTTAAGAAAGCAAGCGCAAGCAACGTTATTTGCGTTGTCATGCTTTTGAAAACTGCATAAACAGTTGTGTCTAGTGAAAAATTCCAACGTTTATAAATTTAAAATAATTATTGAAAAGTATTGCAAGAATCGTTACTTTTAACTGTAATTTAAACAATGCCGTACTTTTCTAAACTGGTACGTCACTTAATCCCTCCAACATGGCGTCGGAGGCCTCACTTTTTTCTGTACCAGGATTGACCGATGAGCAATCCAGCTACTGTATTATAGTAGAGATCAGTGGGTGCAATAAACAAGCAGCCATTTTCAATTCGAATGTCGCCACCAATCATTGGCAACGGCCAATGATTTGTAGTGACGTGACTTTTGTGGTATCTTACATCATCTTTTGGTTAATTCTGGAAACCTCCAGTTTTTTTGGTAAATCTCCAGATTTTTTTTAAGATTCTTAAAAAAAATCTCCAGATTTTCATGACCCAAGGGTTGGCAGGTCTGCTGACATTCAAAAAAACCCGTAAACATTGTCCCGACGGCGATTTTTTTTTCCGTACGAAACATTTGCATGAAACTTCACTCGGGCCATCTCGGATTGACTCGAGTGAGTACGATACGAGGAACAAGAGCAGACACTTCGCAATGTGACACTCGAGTTTTACTATTATTGCTCTTTCTATGTTTACTAGACTTGCCACAAGTTTCTAATTATATGTTTTCCTAGTACAGTATTAGTTAATTTTGGAGAGCGCCACCAGCGACGGTATATATCGAGAAACTATTATTATGAAACGCCAAGCAAATAGGTAATATGGAACGCCATTGGTGTCAAAATAGATTTAAAGACAAAGATTAGGGACTGGAACCCAGTCTATATGTTTACCTACGGAGGCCTATGAAATTTCACGGACTTACATGTGATGTACGTCACTGTGTAACTAACTGTGACCTTCTTGGATGTTATTAAATGTTAGTATATTATCTACAACAACAACAGCTAGTACCTCCTGGTGTAAATTGTAGATAGGTACAGTTATACCAAAGGCTATAGAGAAAGAGGATAAACTATAGGCTTAACTACAGGCTGAGGTCTTACCTAGGCCCCTCCTTAAACTAGGCCTAGGGTCATAGGCTGACACAACAGTCACGCTTCGCATACTGACATGGACTGAAATTTGGGGGGGGGGGGGAAATGGGACAAAATTTAAGCATGAAATGAAAAATAGAGCGCATAAGAGAAATATTATTAAATAAATAATATACCATTCCGGCGTTATTGAACTTGTCCAAACTATCATTGTAATGCAATTAATGTTAAATAATAATAATAATAATAATAATAATAATCATTTCAGCATTAATTACCTTGGCCTAAAGCTTGTAATAAAGAACCTACAGATACTATTTACTAGGCCTATAAATAATAACTAGCCCAAGGGGAATATCTTTTGTGTTATTTCCCCTTTGTCTAAGTTCCCCTTAACGTACATGTAATAATAATAATAATTATTATTATTATCATTTCGGCATTACATGTAATTAACTTGGTCTAGCCTTGTAATCAAGAACCTGCCGATTACTATGCCTAATATTAATAAAGCTCATTTTTACATTCATTTGGTGTTTTGCCATTTTGGCAGGTCTTATGGCATCCAGAATTTTAGAGCTGCCTATTCTCAGCTCTTCTCTTAATTTGAAAATAACTGTCATTCTGTTTCATTTGATCAGATGAAGAAAAACGCGCTTTTCCTTAACTCTTTGTGCTTTTCCCAGAAAGCGTTTTTAGTAAGCCTACTTGTAGGCCTAGGTAATTATGCAAAACCCAGGCCTAACTAAAAACTAAAATTGTCATAGTATGTAACTCAGTTAAAATAACACTTTTCATTACTCGTGCAGCTTAATCAAATATTATGTCATTTTAAACGACCCATTGGTATTAACATGGTAACATAATGTATTTTAAAAATTAGACAGCGACGTTCTCTCAGAAGTTGTTCTGTAGACGTTTATCTGTTGATTACCTTTTGACCTCCTGAATTCTGCAATGAGATTTTCGAGTCGATTCAGCCGAGACGGCCCGAGTGGAGTTTCATCAAATTTTTCGTACGGAAAAAAATCGCACCCAGGGAAGGGCACAGATCTGTTTTGAAAGGTGGAGGGGGAGGGCATTTTGTAAGTCGACACACACCCCAGCCCCACAATGGTTGGGGCTGAGGTGAGAAGATTTGAGGAAATAGTACCTCTAGATGGCCAGAAATGACACTTATAGTAAAATTCATCATCATCACATCACCATTAGTCAAAATGAAGCGCCAAAAGAAATTCTCATGATCTTTTATCAGGGATTTTTGACAACTATAGAGATCTTATTAATGTGTGTGTATACACCATAGAAAACAAAGCTTAAAAACATTGTCTTTGAGTATGTACTCTACATAGGCCTACTTCAAAAACGTGATTTCACAACCACCTCAGCCCCACCATGGCTGGGGCTGAGGTGAGAAAATTTGAGGAAATAGTACCTCTCGAGATGGCCAGAAATGACTCTTTTATATAGTAAAATCATCATCATCACATTACCATTATAGTCAAAATGAAACGCCAACAAATTTCTCATGACTAGATGTGTATAAGAGACAGATTGTATACTGTCCATTTCTCGATCGTACCTTATTAAAATATTTGTTATGTTCTTGTTCTTCTTTATTACCAAGCGACATCTGAGTGTACTGGA